TTCAGGCTGATCCTGGCCTCTGGTCATGGTGTTGGGGCCTGAGTTGTTTAGTTTATAACACTCTGTGGTGTCTCCTGCCAGCCTGAGCACAGCTCCCTGATCCTCAATATCTCTGAGGTTGTCCCTAACCCACTCAGTCACTGTGGGTTTTTTTTTTTAAATGCTGTTCTTTTATTATTTTATTTATGTATTTATTTTGATTTTTGAGATGGGTCTTGCTATGTAGTTCAGGCTGGCCTTGATCTCGCTATGTAGCCCAGGCTGGTCTTGAACTTGCAGCGATTCTCCTACCTCAGTTTTCCAAGTGTTGGTGACACAGGGGAAATAAATGTAACTCTCAAACCTGATATCTGAAATTTGAGTTCATGTCCTCTAACATCAAAGAATGAATTCTAGGAATAACAGGTTAAGAGTGGGAAAAATTTACTGAGAGAAACAGCTTTTAAGAGAGACAGAAGGGTGTTACATTTCCTCGCAGGCCAGCCCTACCTGCCTACAAGATATCTAATTAACTTACCTATCTACAATATTGGGAATACAGGTGTGTGCCACAATATCACTGTAGGTTTTAAACACTGAGAGCCCCAACCCAGCTTCTGGGTTTAGTTGCCCCCCTCCCTAAAATGGCATCTGACCAACAACTGTCTCCAGGGGACACTGCAGTTACTTGGACCGAGTCACTCACCAGTTGTTGTAGTATTGTAGATAGGTAAGTTAAATAGGTATTTTATAGGCAGTTAGGGCCTGCCCAAAAGGAGACAGTGTGGAAGACAATAGAGCCAAGGTTGAGGACAATCAAGACACATTCAATGAAGGCCAGCATTGTAAAAGAGAAACTACCACACCCATGTGCTTACCCTAAGGATGTATAGCAGTAATTGATATTCTAAATAGGTATCTATCATCTGGGTGGGGGACCAAGATCTTTCCCACCCCTTTCAGGAAAGGTCCGTGACCAAAAATCCTTGTATGCTTGCTACGTGACTTGCTTCCCCATTGGATCCCCATATAATCAATATTACCTAAGCGCCTATACTTGTCTTCAATTTATTGGTTGATCATAGTTTTGTCCACCTTGTGATTTCTCATTGGATCAGTATTACCTAAGCAACTGTACTTGTAATCTTACTAGTTGACTATAGTTTTGTCCCACTTTGAACCCGCCTCAACTCATGGCTTTAACCCATAAAACTCCTCTGAGAAGCAGAGTGAGTGGGTAACCCTTTTCCCGGTCCTCCTTCTGTTTCTCTTAGACAAAAGCTATGTTTCTCTCAATAAATTTTTCTCACTCTTAACCTCTGCTGTTCCTAGAATTCATTCTTTGATTTTAGAGAACAGAAACTCTTGTTTCAGGTACTAGCAAGATTGGGAGTTACATCTATTCCCCCTATATCAGTAGTACACAGCATCCACTGCTCTGTTCACTGATGAGTTTCTTCCTTGAGGGCCCTGGAGTCACCCACTTCCACTGTGTCTCTGTTTCGTTTCCTTCTTTTCTGCTTTTTTGTGTATATTTTGATGTTTTTGAGACAAAGGTCTCACTATGTAGTTTAGCCTGGCCTTGAACTCACTATGTAGCCCAGGCTGCCCTGGAACTTGCAGTGATCCTCCTGACTCAGCTTCTTGACTGCTGGGACTACAGGTTTGCACCACCAATGCCTGGCTTCACTGTCTCTGTTGATTGGATCCTCCTCTCTCATGCCATGAGCCAAGAGCCAGAGAGAAGGTGCAGATCGCCCCTTTATTTTTCTGTACTGAGGCTGCTCTCCACTTTCTCTGTGAGCTCCAATTTTCCTTCAGATCTCTTGTGGGTCCTGGGTATCCACCTCCCTCCTTTTTCTCTTCTCTAAGTTGCTACGTTTCAGTGTCTGCATTGTGAATCTTGGAGAGGCTGACTTGTTGGTGCTTACAGCTCCACCATCTCCCTGGAAGTCTAAAAGAATGTACAAAAAGATGTAAAAGATATTATACAAAGATAGCTAACTAAGCAATAATCTTTATCTTAATCTGTGTGTGGGGGTGGTGGTGGTGTATTTTTGTTTTTGAGATAAGGGCTTTCTGTAGTTAAAGCTGACCTTGAACTCACTATGTAGCCCAGGCTGGCTTCAACTCAGGATCCTCCTGCCTCGGCCTGCTAGTGCTGAGATTGCAGGCATGCACCACCATGCCAGGTGTAATCTGTTTTATTGTTATATTTTTCCTTATCTCTTCCAAGTGAATGCAATTCCTTGGAGGTTAGGAACTTTGTTTGTAGTAATTATATACTGCTGTATCCCTAAGGCTGAGCATTAGTTTAAAGCAGTTTAAAAAACAATTGTTTCAGCTGGGTGTGGTAGTGAATGCCTGTAATCCCAAAATTTGGTAAACTGAGGCAGGAGGCTCTCTGTGAGCTCAAGGCCAGCTGCACTACAAAGTGAGACCTTATTTTAAAAAACCAAAACAAACAAAAACCCCTCACAATTGTTTCATGAATGGATACACTGATGAATGATAGATGGCTAGTTACATGTACTAATGTGGGAAGATTATACTGGATTTTTTTGTTTTGTTGCTGGGGACAGACCGAGGGCCTTGCAAATGATAGGCAGGCACTCTACCACTGGGCCACACCCCCATCCCTGCACTGGAATATTTTAAAAAAGAAAATGTATTATAAGCAAAAAGACTAGTGAAACACAAAATTAAAGAAAAAAGAAAAGAAGCAAACTGTTAACAGATGTTCTTAGTGGGCTGGGATTCCACTGAACCCTCTACGTTACATTTATTTTATATAAGAATGAGAAAAAATTTTTTTTCTTTTTTTTCAAATGGAATCATATTTTATTTGAGATTATACAGTCTTTTTTATAGTAAAACATTTATTGGTACATTTTAGACATACATAATGATAACTCTCATTAGGGAATTTGCACCTGTACCCTGTACCTCCTGCCTCTTTTTTCCCATCCCCCTCACCCTGCCTGTGGGCCCCCTCCCTTCCCTATGTACAAAAGCTTTCCCTGAACCCTTTCTTCATCTCTCTCACATCTCCAGTCTGCCTGTTTGTTTGTTTTGGTAATAGGAATTGAGCCTAAGGCTTTCATGCTGTGAGACTGAGCAAAAATTACTCCATTTTGTAATAAGGCCCCATCTTGTCTGCTTCTGTTACATTTCATCATGGGGACGTCGAGTTCCCAGAATGTACTTGTTGCTGTTCCAAGGAAACCGCAAGTTAGCCTTATGCCTGTTATGTAAAGATTGGTTGCTGCACTACCCCAACTACCAATGTCTCGCTTCTGTACTTTTGCTTGCCAAGTTCCCTCTTGTGACCCCTATAAAAAGACCTCAGTCCCTGAGCCGGGCACCTCTCTAAGCTTGTTGCTTGGAGGGTGCTGTCTGGCCAGACTAATAAAGGTCTGTTTTTTACTATCTCAATTTGTCCGATGTGTTTCCTCCCAGGTGATCCTCACTGCAGTCAGCTCCTCAGAGCATTTGGTGAGGCCCACGGTCTTACAATACTAAACTACATGCTTTCGTTTTCTTTTTTTTTTTTTTTTTTTGGTACCAGAGATTGAACATGGGTCCTTGTGCTTGCGCAGCAGGTGGCGAAACCACTGAGCTAAATCCCCTGCTTTTTTTTTTTTTTAGGGTCTTGGTAAATTGCTAATTTGTATATGTTCTTTGGCCTATTAGTTTGGTTTTCAATCTGTATATATGATAATTACCTAAGGAAAAAAAAAAGGAGGAAAAAAAAAATAAATTGCTAATTTGTCCAGGCTGGGTTTGAACTGGAGCACTTCCAGCCTCAGACTCTGGAAATATTGTAATATTCCAGTCTGCTGATTCTGCGTACCTCTCCAGGATCTGGAGCCAGTTTACTCTGCTCCCAGGCAGCAGCTCCTTCCCCTCCTCTGCCTGCCACTTTCTTCCCTGGGTGGAAAATGCGGAGCCTCCCTGCGCAAAGAGGCCTGGCTTTGAAGAGGCAGGGATGTAGGACTGCCCTCTAGAATGAAGGCAAGTGAGTGGTCCCTAGCTTCAGCAGTGGGCAAGGAGAACTCAGCACAGGGTTGCCCATAGGTGTGTGGAGAGAAGCAAATGTCTGGATGGAGCAGGAAGGGCTACCCAGGGCTGATCTGCACTCTCATGCTGAGGGAGGATCCTGGGCTGTTCTCCAGGTAATCCCTGCATTCATTTTAGGAGACTGGTGGACCTCAGGGACACAGCCCTTTGGTGAGAGTGTCTCATTTTGGAAAGTCTGACCAGACCATGCTCCTCCCCCAGGTAGGCTGTGCACCACCTCTCCTTTGGGGCCTGGCAGAGCTTGAGGCTCTTCTCTAACTCCTGCCTGCCCTGTCCTTGTCCAAACATGGCGAGGGCAAAAGTATACTCATGTGCCAGGCCTTGGTTTGTGCCATTTATGTACTTAATTCTCCTGGAAAACATCTGAGATAGATAATATTATTATCCCTCTTTTATCAGGATGGAAAAGTAAGCTTATATGGGTACCAATCTGTGTCTTCTGAAATTGTATCCAGTTGACATTTACAAGGTACTTGGTTCAATCCTTGGCACTTCCACCAAAAAATAAAATAAAAACAAAAAAGAATAAAAAATAGGAAACAAAAAATCAGATTATACCCAGGAGGTGGCAGGGCTAGGCTCTAATTCCAAATTTTCCTGACTCCAAAGCCCTAGCTCACAAACCCCATTCTGTAGAGATGAGTCACAAGAATCAGAAATTCGGGAGAAAGAATCCAACAGGATTCAGAAATGGAGAAACAAAGAATCAGAGGGAGGGGGCAGCGGAGGGGAAGGGGATGTGTTATGTACAGGTACAGCAACATGTAACAACATGGTGAATGTACTCATGGACTGCAAACATGTACCAATAATTTTTTTTTAAATAACAAGGGAAAGAAGGTAGAAAGAGAGTTGACAAAAGGGAAAGAGAATATAGAAAGAAGAAAGCTGTCTTAGTCCATTTTCCACTGGTATAAAATAGGAATGAGGCAGGATGATCTGTATAGAACAGAAGTTTATTTGGCTCGTGGTTCTGGATGCTGGGAAGGAGAGCAAGGTGCTGGGGTCTGCACATCATCAGGGGAGGCCATTTTGCTGCATCTGGACACAGCAGAGGGTGTCAGGCGGGGAGACAGAGTGCATGTGCCAGCCCAAGTGTCTTCCAAAAGCAAACTAGCAAAAAAGAAGGCATAAAAAACTCAAAATCAAAAAAAAGAGAGAGAAAATTATCAAGTGTCTTTCTTCCTTCCCCTTCCCTTTTCTCTTCCTTCACCCCCCCCCCACCTCCTTCCTAAGGCATCAGTGCCTTCACAGGGACCCCACACAGGTGATCTTCTCTAACCCTAATGATCTCCCAAAGGCCCCACCTTCAAATACCCTCAATGTATAGATTTGAGGACTAAATTTCTGACACCTGAAATTTAGATGACACATTCAAACTAGAACAGAGGCTCAAACAACTTCAGTAGTGACTGAAGGAAAGACACAAACAGAAGCCTTTGGAGACAGAGGCAGACAGGGAAAGAGTTTTAAAAAGTAGTTTGATTCTCAGTACAGAGAAAAAAGAATGTGGCAAGAAAATGGAGGAAGCAGAAAGGCAAAGAGTTGACAAATGAGAGAAACAAGAGGATCAAACAGAAAAGGATGAGGGAACAGTCACAGAGTGAAATGGGGACTGTGGGGGCAAGACAGATGAAGTCCCACAAATACAAAGGAGAGAGAAAAGATGAAGATGAAAGGCTGCCCTCACATCATCCCTGCTGATACTTTCCAAAGCCTGATGACTGAAGGTAGCATAATTTCCTAGTGATTTTTGCAAACTTGATAGATAGGAATGGGGGATTAGGGTATCTCACCAAGTATCTAGTGGGATCAAGTTCTGTGCTCAAGGACGGAGGAAGTGTAAATCTGGACTTAGTGACAGAGCAGAGTCCTGAGTGTCAGAGGATGGCCCTAGAAAGCTGTGGAATCCCTCCAAGAGACACCATTGGAATACCACACAACAGTAGGCTTCTGAATAAATGCATTCTATTTCCTGTATTCTCTTCTATCATTTGTTTTTCCCAGGGTGTCCTCCTTGTAAAGTTTTTTTCTTTGTTTTGGTACCCGGCATTGAACTTGGGACCTTGAGCTTGCAAGGCAGGTGGTGGAACCACTGAGCTAAATCCCCAGCCCTCCTCCTTGTATATTTTGTTTTTTGAGACAGCGTCTTGCTATGTACTCCAGGGTGGTCTTGAACTCACTATGTTACCCAGGCTGGCCTTGAACTCCTAGCAATACTCCTGCCCCAGCCTCCCCTGTGCTGAGATTATAGGTGTGCACCACCACGCCTGACTCCTCCTCGTATCTTTCACCTCTAAATAAGAGCCACCACTCAGCTTTTGTTCTAGTTCTCCCTTCATAGGTAAAGGCCTCCTTCAAGGTCTTTATAGCTATTTCTTCTCCATCCCAAGAGGAAGAAAAAGGACAAATCAGTCTAAGGAGACCAGGGCTCAAATTATCAAGCTCCAGGAAGTTCAAAATTCATGCCAGGCACGGTGGCATATGTCTATAATCCCAGCACTCTGGGGTCTGTGGCAGGAGGATCATGATTTTAAACCCAGCCTGGGCAATTTAGTGACTTAGTGAGACCATGTCT